CTCATCAATTCATGTCCTGACGTGGCGTCAACCATATAATCTATGTGGGGAAGCGGATAACTGTCTTTTGGGCACGCCTTGTTGAGGTCGGAAAAATCAATACACAATTTCCACAACCCGTTACTCTTTTTAACGAGCACTGGATTTGAGACCCACGTCGGGTATTTGGCTTCCTTGACGAATTTATTGTCAACTAGTTTTTTGACTTCTTCTTCCAATGCCTTCTGACGGTCCGGCCCCAGTTTTCTCCTCTTTTGTACAACCGGCCGGACTGTTCGATCGAGGTTCAGTTTGTGGCTAGCGACGCCGGGGTCGATACCCTTCATATCCTCGTGCTTCCAGGCAAAGACATCAGAATTCTGCTTGAGAAACGCAATAAGTTCTGACCGAAGTGGTTCCTGAAGATGACTTCCAATACGTAATGACTCGTGGAAGATTGGTTCGTCAATATAGACTAACTCCACGTCTTCCCCAGGTTCGGCTCGATCAGGTCGACTTTTTTCTTTAAACAAGGCTCTGGGATCCAGCTCATCTTCTTCCAGGAAGGGCTCTTTTCCAGGTCGGCGTCCTCGGTCCTCGGTTAAAGGATCCGAGGTGGAAGGCTCACCGATGTGGTTGTTCGGTTCTTTGGTCGTCGCATCATTCGGATGGTGATGTTGTGGGGAGGCTTCATGGTTACTCGTTGAAGCTGAGTGAACTCCATGAGATGGGATGAACGTTACAAGTTGCCGAGCTTCTCTTTGATCTCCGAAGTGGGTTCCTTCCCCTCGGGTTGTCGGGAACTTTAATGCGTAGTGGAAGATAGAGACTGCGGCCCGAAGTTTGTACAACGCCGTTCTGCCGATGATGGCGTTGTATTCGTTATTAATATCCATAACTTTAAAAGTCTCCATAACGAGTTTGGTGATATTCTCCGAGGTACCAAATCGGACGGGCAAAGTGATTTCTCCGATGGGTTTTGAAATACTGCCGTTAAACCCCTGGATTTTATCGTTGCAAGGTCTGATCTCGGCGGGGTCAAGGCCCATCTTGTCAAAAGCTTTCAGCATCAAAATACTTGAATAGGC